TCCGAGAGAGATTTTCTCGCGGCGGCGAGCCGAGCCAGTTGCAGCCCCCTAAGTACACGCGAGAATTATCTTGGCTTATAATACCCGCGTAATTCTAGATGTGCCTCATATCCGCATCTCGCTCTCGCTTGCCTCTTTCTCCGTCCGCTTTTTTTCTTTTGCGGTCTCGCGTGTTGCACACCTGACTCGCTTGCACGACGACCTATGTTCCACTTTTTATATGCACATGCGGCGGCGACCTTAACATTTGCACGTTGTCGTCGTTCGACTTGTGCGTGAAAGTTATGCGAGAGATTTTTATCTTGCCAATTCAAATAAAACTGCTTGCAATGCGACTTTAAATGCCGCGGTTACATGGTACCGTTATTACCAAAATTATATGTATTTTTATCACCTGCTCGACTGACTTGTCACAGGCCGTTTTTTTTTTTTTTTTTTTTTTTTTTTTTCGCCGCTTTTAATCGACAACTAGAACAGCAACGTGAAAAGCATCGATTGCCATCTCGACCGGAGAGATGCATTTTGTTGGACAAGCCAAGTTGAATGCCGCGCAGGTGTACTTGAATCATCAGTACGCGAGACAAAGCACACTCGATTGCAATTAACCGAACTCACGATGAATCCATTATTGGCAAAGCATTTTCATAGTAGCGCATTATTTTAAAGCTCGCGTGTTTCAGGCTTTTTCGCGTGAGCGAGTTGCCTCCCCGAAGAACCGGATCGATCGTGTATATACATATATTATAAGAGGATACATTTTTTTCGGTCTGTTTGTCGGCTGCTGATAAAAATATTTTAAATCTTCTCCTTGACCGGTTTCGCGAAATTCTTGCCCAACAGTTCTTTGAAGTATCGCTAATTAAAACTTATTATCCTTGTACATCGGCGTTTAAAAAATATATATATAAAGCGTTGTAATTCGATCGTTGGACAAAAACATAGAGGTTGTCAGGGCAGCAGGGGCGAAACAGAAGGTCAAGCCGACAATGGCTCGCAGTGGCAGGTTTCGGATATTGCGAAAAGATCGTTGTCCGCTACCGGCGCGATGTTGCTACTGGCAATTAATTAAAAATTTTTTGTTGCTGCAAGCGACTTCCTGCGCTTGTCCCTTATCGTCGTCCACACGTGGGCAGCTCGTGCGTCCGATGGCGCGATGGACAGCCCGAACCGAGGAAAAAAGTCAAGGTAAAGGGGGAGTCCTCCTCTCCCGCAAACGAGACACGGGAGGCACACACACAGTCAAGGTCGCGCCACGGTCAAGCCGAAACTCTCGCCTCTCGTTTGCATGCCGCGACTCTCGCTTTCGATCTTCTTCTCGCCGCGTCGCTTTTTAGACAATGGAGAAAGTGCCAACGATCTCCGACGGAATCCCCTTATTGCCTCTTATCGAACCCTCGCGGAAAAAAACTTGGTTCTTGATCGCTTTTACTTGGCTGTCGTGGACTTGAAACAGGGGAAAAACGTTCTTCACGCTTCACGCATATTCGTGTCGTCGAATAAAACCCACGAGCGAACGCTCGTTTCGGCGCAGAACACGCGTTGCAAAATCTCGGATAGCCACGATCGAAGCCGTTGCCGACGTTCTGTTTCGCCCTCGGCGAATACGTCACTGCCGCGTACAACTTTCGCGAAAAAGCCGGAATTTTCGCGGTTCCCTCGATCGCGAGTGCCGAAACCTTGGGAAGAATCGGTCGGTGGCTTTTTTCCCAACGCTCGACAAAGGAGTGCACGCGTGCGAGCGACGGGCGGCGCGACCGGGAAGTTATGCGCCCGATCGCAGATGCAAGAGCGCGCGGAAAGGAAAAGTGGAGCGCGGGGCGAGGCGAGCGAAAAGCGCGCGCCCGCGAGCTTCTGTGCGCGATACGCGACATTCCTGGCGGCTGACGTCAGCCAGAGACAATCGCTCCCGATGAACACGGAGAAAGTGGCTCCCTCGAAATTGCAGCGCCGCTGCGCTTGGCGAATCAAAGCTCGATCGGTCCCGCCTCGGCTTTCCGTGGCATCTTCCTTCGCACGCCGCGCCAATTTTCTCCTTTTCGTTCTCGAATTATTATTGCTAGCCTCCGTCATTGACGAGGGGCTCGCTCGCGTGACTCGACGTCGATCATCCGCTTTGGAAAAATCGTAGTACTTTGAATGCTGCACACGTGCCACCACGGCTCACGCTCAATTGTTAATCCCAATAGCAGAAATTGAATTATCGTGCGTCGAATTGATTAAGAAATTACGCCCGTTTTCCCGTAATCGCTGATTACCTTTTCACTTATAAATTTATATGAGCACACGCCCGCCGAACTTTCACGCGCGCTGAACTGATGGGCGAAAAATGCGTATGAATCGATAAAAATTACAAACGGTTGAAAGCCAATGACGCTCGATGTAAACAAGTTCGAGAATTCGAGTATGTGATTTTGGACAACTTCGATTAATGCATCATTCGATTTTATTCGCTTTTAATAATACGCAACGAAATGAGAATAGGTTTTGACTCGTGGACGGTTCTATTTGAAGGCACCGTGAATCACAATAACCGAATTCCGGAAAATGACTAAACGGCGCAAACTAGCAGTGAGTCTTCGACGAAGCTTGCGCACTGTCATTCACGAAGGGAAGTCGAAGGGGGAGCGGTTCGACGATGCGTCGATCTTGGAGAAAATGCGTGGAGGCAGGCAAGGTACGTCGAGGACAAAAGGGCGACACGATTGCTGGGCCGGCTGCGCGCGCGTAAGCTCGCGCGGGGCGAGACACAAAGAAATGCGAACGCGCGTCTCGCCTCCCACGTTTCCGAGACACCTCCCCGTACGAGAGAGCGGCGGCAGTCAATGGCCGAGCCGACTCGAGCGATATAATAGTCGAGCGACGAAAAATAGCCACGTAGATGGTGTAATACCGCGCGTTATGACACGCGCGCGCGCCCTCTCGCCGCGATCAGCCGCACGGTTTACGGACGCGCTGTTCCTTGAATGACGATCGCGCCCTCGCCGAGTGCCAATGAACCCTGCGCTGCCGCGTTACCCCGGTGCATTCGACTCGCGCTTCGGTATTTTACGAGCGTCGCCGTGGCTCTTCTTTGTTTGCAGCGCGACAATCGTTCCCTCCTCGACCGCCGACGGGCCTTGGCCCTTTCTCAAGCCACTTGATAATTTTATCGCTATCTATTTCGAGGTCAGTGTACATTTAAAAAGGTATATCTCGCGAAGGTCTCGCGTGTGTGCAAAGTGCGAGCAGCTGTAGTTCGCGTGTGAAATGTAACGTGTGGTATGCAGGTGCGATGAAAAACTTCAAATGTAGGCGTTGCCCTGTAACCAACAAGAAAACAAAGAAATTGCCATACTTGTACAAGGCACTTGATAAATACTCGCTGAATAAATAATCTTTTGGATTAACAATTATTATCGTCTGTGGTTTCGTCATGAAAAAAATAAAGAAACTAATTTTTACTCAACTCTTTGCAAATACCTTTACGTTCATTAAACAATGTAATAGTAAATAGCCGAGCACGTGCAGACGTTACGAAGAGCGGCAGTTAGCTCGCATCAATGTCAGTGTGAAATTTGTGTTGTCAGAGCTCAATCGAAACCTGCTTGTTATCGAATGGCCATCGAATGGCCAATTGCTTATGTTGTATCACGGTCAAAATATACACGACTGAATTTCGCATTGCGCTCGGATTACTCGAAAAAACAAATGAAAAAGAAACCTTGAAATTTCGGCTACGTATGCAATATCAAATCGTCTTCCGGCAAGGCGAAGACGCGATTAAAAAAAAAATACTATCCGCTCGAGAGGTGAAATAATAATAGTTCTTAGTATCGCGAAAGAGAGCAAGCAGCCGTAGGCATATGTAATCGTGTAAAAGGTATGTGCGCGAGCGGCTATTAACAAGCGTTACCCGCTGCATGCGCGCGAAAGCTATTGTGTAACACGTACATTGATTGATGCGAGGACCACGCGGAGCGTTATGGTGTGTCCCAAACATGACTAAATATTTTATCCGCTGCATAGACATTTTGCAACGCTACTCCGCCTGCCCGCGAACGCTCGGCTTTTTTTTTATTTTCTCGACAGCTCGTCGTATAACGAGCCACGATGTACAAACTGTAGAATAAGCCAATGTGTAAGCTGCATGAAAAGCTCCACTGCTGAATTGGAGAAGCGTAAGATGATTAATTCAACTCGTTCGAGCTCAGAATCAATATCCAGAATACGAGTATATGAAAAGAAATGCCAGCGGGAAAAAGCAGTAGGTAATAATTTAGCATCGATAAGCATCAAAAAACCGTAATAGAGCGAAAGTGACGTAAGCGCTAGAAGCGAATGATAATCAATCGGATGGACAGGAGAAATGAGAATTAATTTTGAGGCTCGAGCTTTTTCGGCTCCATGAGAACGAAAAAGAAAAAAAAAAACGATCGGCGTTATGGAGCACGGCGTTGGCGCGCGCGCGTGTGATCGGATAAGCTGCGATACTCGCAGGTATACACGACGCTGTCCCTCACCCTGAAAGCTCTCGTTGCGTCTGCAGTTTGCGAGAGTGTGCGAGGTGGGGTGGCGCGTATAAAAAGCTACTACCAGCAACGGCAGCCTCCTCATAGTTGACCGAGTTGTCGTCATTGCCGACGAGCGGGTAAAAGCTCTTTTTCACTGTCTCACTCGCCAGGCGCTATTGTGGGATGTGTCGGTGATCGTCGAGAGTGAAACACACACACACACACATACACACACGAGAGTGTAGCACACGCACAGAGAGATAAAGAGAGAGAGAGAGCGTCTCTCTTTCTCCAAGTCGAGTCGAGTGGAGCGATCGGCGCGTAGCTTTGGGGGCCTTTTCCTTTCTCTTTGCGCGAGTGGGGGAGACAGCCTGCTGCCGTAGCACACACAGGCCGCTTCGATACCTGGCAGACTGCTCGCGCCAGGCCAACAGTCGGTCGGCCAGTCAGAGCCGGCAGACAGCAGCCCCCGAATTCTCAACACCAGCGCGACAATCCTACACACCAGACATGCGTACTGTCGGCGGCGCCTTATTCCTGTGAGTACCCACTTTTTCGTTCTCTTCTCTCTCTCTCTCTCTCTCTTTCTCTCTCTTTCTCTCTATCCTCCGTTTCAACGAGAGGAAAAAAGAAAAAAAGAACACGCGTCGTGCGTTAAAGAAATTCTCCCCCCCCTCCCCTCCCCGTGTTGCCGATTTTTCCAAGCATCACTTTCACTCTCGAGATGCTGCGAGCGATATATACGTGTGTTGTTCGCCCTGAACCGTGAAATCGACAATTAGAGCGCGAGATATTATCGACCTGTACGACCGGCGGAGAAATGTTAATGTACGATCGCAAGCCTGTTTTTCTTTTTCTTTTTTTCGCGCGCGCGCGCGTGAAACGGGCAGCTGCGCAACGCGGAGAAAGAGAGTCGCAATCGCGATTAGATTGATAGAAGAGACAGAGTACGCGTCTCGGGATTAATGCTCGACTGCCCATCATAATTAGCGTGTCAAAATCAGAGAAGCCCGCTGCTATCCTCATTGCTCAACTCGTGTTCCGCTCATTTTTCTCCCGTTCGATTTCATTAACGCTATTCTCGCACGATCGTTGCGCCGAGTTCCCGTAGAGATTTCCTTTTTTGCATGCTCGCCCAAAGTTTAGCGCGTCGTCGGTGATTCGCGGCGTTCCGTTCCGGTTACGTTTCGACCAGAGTGCGTAAAACTAGCTTGCTTCAGTTACATACTCAACGCATTCCGAAGCGTCCGCAACCCTTATCTAACGCACCTGAGCCGCCGCCGCGTTGAGCAACGCACCGTTGCACTGTAGCCCCGAAAACGCGACGGGCGGACAGGATAAACGAGAAAATTACGTCGGATCGAATTAATATTTAAAGGCGTCGCCCACGCGCGGCGCGAAACTTTCCGCGAGCGAGCGTTTGCAAAGCAAATTTTCCATTGTCCCGCGGACAGGACTCCTACGCCGAGAGACAGCTGAAAGCCGCGCGAGCGAGAAAGAACAACGCCGCCGAGATTCCGATTCTCGGAAGAAAGAGAAGGAAAAAACGAACGCGTCGCGTGGGACAGCAATAGAAAGCGAGGCGATCAGCGCGCCTCGTCGCGTGCCCTCTTTTCGCAATCAGATTTTCGCGCCAATTTTACGCGCTGCATCCGCGGCGCGTGGCTCTGCGGGCCTTTGCCGTTCCACTTACGATTATCCTCTGCCGCCTGTCGCTGGAAGCCGACCAGCTCGTTTATATTCACTCGCGCGACCGTCTCGCGGTTCGTTTTTCTTCCTCCCGGTACTTTCCTTTTCTAAAATCTCGATTGATCGGCAACTACGATACCGGCTTCGTTTACGGCTCGCGCGCCAAATGCTCGATTACATTATCGATGAATATGCCGGGCCGAGTGTCTTATAACAGCGTTCAACTTGCGCCACTTAATCCAATCGATTAGATGTCTCAATCGTTGATACTCGATCGATTACGCGCCGTGGAGCAAAAAACTACGCGTCTACGCTTCATCCGTCAGTTGCACGTTAGCTTTTTCTCTTCGAATAACGCGCTCGCGCGGAAAAAAACAAAGCGCGGAGGCTTTACTGACATGTCTCTCTCTCTCTCTTTCTCGTATATATAGTTTTTTTAGGTCCATCGCGTGCTAACTGCTCGCGGCGTTAGAAAATGTTTTAGATTCCTTCAAAGATTTTCTCATTCCAAGCTGAAAAGCTGCGCGAATTGCTTATAAATTACACAGTGTAAAATGCTAAACGCCTATAAACAGTAATCCTTCTCATATTCTTTTTCGCGTTTGTTAACTATCAATTACTCTTGCTATAAAAATTGCATTTATTTCAGTTTGCACAAAGAATTCCGTTAATCGTTGACATAGTCTTTGAAAAAGGCGCGTTCAACGCGCATTTATTCGAATAACTTGAGCGGAGCATCGCTATGGAAAGAATTTTTGAGTTTTCGGGACCTTTCGGTAGTTTTACGCGATCGGAAATGTGCAGCGTAGAATAAAAATGAAAGTATTATTATTGATACGCGACTGCGTTTTCGAGGCTCGAGTGTCGTTGCGGAAACCGTGAGTATTCTAGACGGTGACTAATGCAGGAGCACACTGGGTGCTAAGTCAGCATGGAACGCGTTAGTGTTGTAGATTGATTTCGAGGAAATTACTTACTATGTATTATCGATGTATTAGCTGAAAAGCTTAATTTTGAAAGTGAAATTTATTTCATATAACTCAGTGATATTGAAATTCGTTAGTTCATTACCTTGTCGATAAGAAAATTCTACTATAATTCGCAAAATGCATAGCTTGAAAATTAGCTCGGTCCAAAGATGTAAATTGAAAACTCAATCTTAGTTATTGATTAATTGATAATAAAGAAAAAAAGGAATTAATGTGAAATTAATGAATTAATATGGAAATGTTGAGATTGCGATTAACCAGAGTGATATAATTTAGAAACTTATAATATAAATTGTTTTTGATGATGTAACTTAAGCGAGTGTGAATCGAACGCGAGCGGGGAAGAAAATTCGATAAGCGAGGTTGAGCAAACGAGCGACACCGTTGATAACGACTGCACGACATCGAGCGACAAGAAAACTGCGAAACTGCAGAACTGACTCCGTCTGGCCTTATTCGTCTATTTCTACTTGCGGATAGAGCGAACGAGCGTTCGCCGGCGACAAATCGATTCGCGAGCATTCCAAGCTAGATGCGCCGGAGTAAATCGAAGGGCGAACGTTCGCTCGCGCGGATGTTCCAATTACGAGCGAGAAATGAAGTTAGCGGTGGCGTCTAGATATGTTACGCGTATGCGCTTGCTCTCGCGTACGGCTCGGGCGCACTCGCGCGAGAAGACAATCAGATAAGCGTGCGCTTTATTTCTATTTGTCCGCTGTTTTCCAAAGCCATTATTTACTTTTCGATATCGCCGGGCTCGTTATTCCCGTAGCCCGACGTCGCATTTTGGCTTTATACGAAGCATTTGTCAAGCTTGCCAGTGCGCCATTCCATTCCGCATTCGCTACGGCCATTACTGCACCTGAATCGCGCTTGACGAATAATTCACGATTCCGCTAGAAAGACAGCGAGCCTGATATCACTCGGGCGTGCAATGCGCTTAATTATCCGTATCAGCGGGCGCATTAGAAAAGCGACTTTCGACGGCTAAAAGTATACGTTGGTTGTCAATCGACAGGCTGCAGGTATGCTACGTGCTGGCATTGCCGGGCGGCAAGGTGCACGGGCACGAGCTGGAGGAGATGCCGCTGATCCACGGCGAGCCGATAATATCGGCGAAGGCGCGCGCCGCGCGTATCGCAGGTAAGCCTGTCGATCCAACTCTCCCACCCCCAAAATCGCCCGATAAATGTCGTCATTGCTTCAGCGCTTTTCAGAGTTCGTCTCGTCGCACAAGGTACCCGAGCACGCGCTGCGCAAGGACGCCCGGCTGTTGGAGCGTCGCCAAGACGACAGCCACGACGACGCGGACGAGGACGACGAGGCGCGAGACGAGGCTCGGCCCGGTCGGCAGCAGCCGCTACGTAGGGCCCACGTCGACCTCGAGAACTTCGGCAGCACGGGCTTGCTGCACGAGGACGAGTCGGCAAGAGGCTCCGGCCATCGCGTCGGGCAGTACGCTGCCAGACAAGAGGAGCCGCTCTCTGGCGTCAGAGTCAGGTTGGTTCGGATCGCTTTCGATCGCGACCGGCCGAGCGCCGGCTGTACGCCGATGACTTTCGCTTAATCGGATTTTACACGCTCGTGATTTACCTCCTCTGTTATTCTATTACTCAACCCGTGTTATTATGTTCTCGTATCTCGTGGTTATTTTTAGAATTCGGCGTGTTTCTACTTTTCCATCTCTCTCTCTCTCTCTCTCTCTCTCTCTCTCTCTCTCTCTCTCTCTCTCTCTCTCTCTCTCTCTCTCTCTCTCTCTCTCTCACTCTTGCACCTTTTGCCACGAATATTTCGGCGCTTGCTCACGACACTTTCCGCTCCCTCGCAGCGTTTTTTTATGCCAAATAACTGCCTGTCGAAATGAATTAACATACACAGTCGCGGTTCTTTTTCCTCTTCGTTCTCACTTTAGAAATGTGTTTTCTTTTTTCTCCGACGCTGCTACCGTTGGCATTGGCGTGAAAAGAAAAAGACTTTCGCTCGCGTCTCCGAATTATGTTGACCTTGCTGCTACTCGTCGTGACGAGAATAAGTGGTTTTCATTCTTTTTTTCTCTCGCTCTTCATCCTTATTTGCGTATTCCATCGATTCGCAGAATTAATGCGAATTCTCGTGCCGGGGAGCCTTGATGGTTTCTTTTCCCACTTACTTTTTTATTTTATTTATTTATACCTTTTTCGGGGGCGGGAGGAAGGCCGATTGGTCTCGCTTTCACGCGCGCTTATTCCGAATTACGCTTCTGCGAGCGTACGCGCATTAATTAAATGCCACTCCGAATACATGCGCTGCCTTATGCCGAAAACGAGCATCGCGTCGAGATGCGCCGATACGTGACTAACGGAGCACGCCATTTTCATCGGTCGATTCTTGGTTTTCGTCGAGCGTCACTGACGAACGAACCGATGGCCTTTCAGCTCGGAGAACCCGACGACAATGTTGCCGATTCTGACGACCCAGAGGGACTATCGTCCATTCGACTTTGTGCCAGTAAACATCATACGGGAAGATGGCAAAGGAGGCGCCTCTTTTCTACCCTTCGATAACAAGAATTTCGAAGATCTAGGGGATGTGAATCTCGTTCCGGCAGGCTCCAACACTCGAATCCAGGTAAACGTAACGGTGTAAAGTCGGGTAAACCGGATTGTCTTATTTTTAAAGCCAACATCGATACAACGGTCAAATGCAACGCAACTGCGTATCGGCTTTGAGAAAAATGGCGGTGCGAGCCCCTCGAGCGCATCTGCCTTCGCGCAATGGCGCGTTCGTTCGAGAGCGATCGCTTGCCGGTTATCGTCGATCCGTTGTAAATATTGACGCCATTTCGAACGTAAAATCCAGGTGAAGAAAGGTCCGAACGGCAAGGATTACGAGTACGAGTACGTGTACTACTACTATTACGACGAGGACGACGAGGGCAAAGGGTCCACTTCCAGTGGCGGCAAGGACGCGGCGACGAGAGGCCAGAGCAGCTCGCAGAGGCAGCGCGGCAATTCCAACAGGAATAAGTACAGCACGGTGGAGCGTAACAACGTGGGCTCGTCTTCGACGGCCGAGCCAGTGATAAACGAGGTGATCCCGAGCGCAGCGACCAACGGAAACGGAAACAGGGCAAGGCAACTGGAGAGCAGCCATCACCACGAGGAAGTCGCAGAGGAGAGACTACCCACGAACACGCGTTTCCCGCCAAGGTACACCTCCTTCCTTCCTTCCTTCCATTTTCTACTGTGATTATCGCTCTGCTGTCCGATGGCTTCGCTCGCGCCAGCACTCTCGGCAAGTGTAATTAGACGTTGGATAACCGAGAGCTAGCTGGCTGATTTATTGGACGATCATCCTCGATGTTCGTTTAATGATACGCAAAACACACGTAAAAGACAAATTTATGCACCGGGCCGCCGTGTACGTCGATGAGAACTAAAACTCGTTGACCACATCCTCGATGGCTCGCTTGACATTTACAGTCGAGGAAAGAGATATTCTAATAATTTCGTCACCGTTTCCCATTTAGAAATCGGTATCGCATCTTACTCAATTGACGGTGTATCGGTTACCGCTTGCGCGCACCTCGCTTACCGAGACTGCAATACTTTACAGGAAGAACAAAAAGTTAAACACAAGTGGCCATTGAAATGTCCATAAAAATTATCGGCAAGCGATAAAGCCCTGTAAATTATTTCCCCCGACCAAGTGCATATGCACGCGCGGTGTTACCCCCCGATTAATAACGAAATAATTGGCTAAACAAAGTACTTATGTAAACGAATATAACTCACGTTAGGGAAAAATTAGAGCGAGCGTAAAATAGTCGTCGTTCGTGAATTTCATTAAACAAAACAAACAGACAAGTCAAGCGGGTAACGTTCGTTCTTCGCTCGTCAAGTTTTACGACCAAGAAAATATCTAAGTAGCTCGCTGTCTTCCTTTTTCCTTTATCCTGTTCTTTTTTTCTCTCGTTTTTTTTTCTTTGTCGCGTTCGCGAGTAGTACGTACAGGCGGTCGCCCGCCTGCCTCGGTAACTCGTCCATAATTGCACGCTTCGCCGTGCCCGAGCAATTGCAGTTAGTAGAATGAGAAAACACGAATTAACGCAGACAATGCTCCGCGCGGGAGAAGAGGAAGGCAGAAAAAAAGTGTACAGCACACCCACTATACTGCGCTCGGACGACGACGATCGGCCAATTACTCGTGTAACGCGCGCCCGTCTACCGGTGAAAACGCGCCGAGCTTTCCCGAGCGAACAACGGGACGAAAATTAAGACAGAGTAATGTGTCGAACGCGCGGACTTTCGCTTCGGAGCTACGAGATCGCGGCGAGGAGCGAGAAAAAGTAACGATAATAACACGCGCGCGCCGCTTCTTTTGCGGAATGATTCAAATAAGCCGCTGGCTTGAACGTCATTCGTCGGCAGTAGGGCGCAAGGGAAATCGAAGCAGACGTGCTTGACTTTCCGTTTCACACGTCTCGGTACACCTTTCTGCCATTGTGTGCCTTTCGTTGTTTTTTTTTTTTTTTTTTTTCGCGGAGCGTATTCTCAACTCATTTTCACGTCAATGTAATGCGACTGTCGCGTAGCTCGCATACGTGGCACAAATTTTCCTAAGCGATCGGAATCGCATCTTCCACTGCCACTCGCGTTGCTCCAATTTCACACGCAAGAAAGTTTTATCTGCGTTCGATACGCCAAAAAACCATTTGGAATTTCACTTGCTCACGGCAGCTCGACGATCGCACTCACGAAACGATTTTCCTGAATTGTTTAGAGCGCGCTCAAACCACGCATCGCAGGAGCTGCCACAGCCAACGGAACGCGCGAGCCGCGGTCGCGGAAATCGACAGCGTTCGTCCACCATCGAACCCATCGACTCGAGTAGCTTCCGTGGGCATCAAGAAGGTCCCGAATTCCCGCCGAATTTACCGAACGGTCCTGTGAGATTCCTCGGCGTGACGCCTAACGAGGGCAACGAGGAGAAATCCACGACGACCGCTCGAGGACGCGCAAGACCATCGAGAATTCAGGAGCCAGCGCCGGTGCAAGAAGCCTACGACGAGCCTGTTTACGCGCGGAAACGACCTGCTTCCGGCCAGTACGAGGTGAATTGTTTTTCGCGACATATCGACATGGAATTGCAAGTACTTTACGAACACTGCAATGCCCCTTACAGTCGCAAGAGCGCGCGGAAAGACCAGCACAAGCGCACTTCCGTCAGCAGTCGTACCAAAGCCGCGACGAAGAGTTCGGCACCCCAGGACCAAGCTACTTACCAACGTCGAGTCCGCGCAGTACTCAGCACGAGGAGCTCGAGTCTTACACCGACTATTCGACCGAAGTGACCGATGCGCCGACCACTCAGGTGCCCTCGGCCATGCAGAAAGTTGCTCTCGACCTCTATGCTTTCCTGCAGCAAGGTCGCAGCAACCTAGTCGACTTCGTGAAGGAGGCCGACGACGAAAGCACCGAGTCCGGCGTCGCCGCCGACAATCTCACCACCGAGCTGCCGCTCACTACTGGCCTCGACGACGATGCCACCTCGCCCCCGCACACCACCGCTCCGACCACCACCACGACCACCACCAGCACCACCAGCACCACCACGACTACGAGCAGCACGACGACGACTGCTGCGCCGCCAGCTGCGAGTACCGAGGAGCCGTCGAGCCCTGGCTTCGGCCGCAACAAGTTCAAGCGACCCGGCATCGCCGGATCGCCAGCGGCCTCCCGCCACCGATTCAAGTCCGGCAACGGCGCGGCGACCACCGAGCCCAGCGCGCCCGACTCCAGCGTGCCAGCCAGTCCGACCCAGCGCACGCGCGGTCGATTCGGCGCTCACGCGACCCCGGCAGGCGGCACTCCTGCCTTCAAGCGCGCCAGACCGTCGATCCAGAAGCACCAGTCGCCCGAGGAGCCGGCCGCGCAGAAGGACAGCGCCGAGAAGGCGAACCAAGACGCGGCCAAGACTGCGCCGCGCGGTCGCTACCGCGGCACCTCGGCGAGGTCCGGCGCGCAGGCGCCCGCCAAGACGACCGCTGCGCCGAGCACCGCCTCGTCCGAGAAAGCGGCGCCACCGCCGCCGCCGCCGCCGCCGCCGCTCGGCCCCGCTGTGCACCGACCCGCCGGGCTCAACAAGCTGGCCGGCCTGAATAGACGCCGCGGCGGCAGGCCGGGAGCCCCGGCCGCTGCCGCTGCTGCGCCGGCCGCCACCGACGATGGTACGTGAACGGGCGCTCGCCCCCCCCCCCCCCCCCCGCGCGCAGTCGCCGTCGCGGCTGTCTCGCCTCGCTCATGGCTCCGTGGTTTTCGCAGCCGAGCAGACGGCCCCGCCGGCCGGTCCAGTGCCGGAGGGCGCGGAGCCGCAGAAGACGGCGCCGAGGATAGCCGTCGGCGGGCCGAGGGCCAAGCCTCTGGGCAAGCCCCTCGCGAAGCCTGGCGCGGCGAGACTGAGCAGCCTGAGGCCGAGACTCGGCGGCCCGACCAGCACGACCACCACGGAGAGCCCCGCCGAGGCTGCCCCGGCCGCCGAAGCCGCCGTCGAGGAGCCGGCCAGCGAGGGGACCGAGGAGGAGACCAGACAGGTGCGTTGTCGACGGGCCGCTCGCCCGACGAGGCCCTCGGACCCGAGCTGACGCGGCGCCGGCTTTGCAGGCGGCAGCGGAGGCGAGTCCCGCGACCAAGCCCACCACGGCCAACCCGCTGAGCAAGCTCCGCCAGCGCAACAGGATCCAGGTGCACCCGAGGACGACGACCGCCCGGACGACCATCTCGCCGGCGGCGCGCCGCTCGAACTTGTTGCCGAGGCGCAAAACTACCGAGGCGCCGCCGGAAGCCGAGCCGCTTGTGACCGAGGCCGAGGCCGAGGCCGGCCAGGACGAGGCTGCCGACTCGACGGAGAGCCAGCCGGCGGCGACGCCGCTCGAGACCAGTACTGCCGCCGCCAAGCACGAGGAAAGCCGAGCTCTCAGCAGCCTCCTCGCGCCGAGACGTAGGATAGCGCCGAGGAGACCAGGACAGCCAATCGCCCCGGCGAACGGCGACTAAATTCTTCTCCGGCGAGTCGATTGAAAAACAATATCAAGCGAACGAATGGGAACGTTTCGCTGAAGCGGCTTCATTCTATAGTCATTGCGCAATAATTATTACGCGCTCGTGATCGGCGCTCGGAACATTGCTTCTCGAGCGACAATAGAGGTATAACAACCGTGACAAATGCGTTCTCCGTAGCGTCGCGTGCAGCTCCTCGAGATGTTTCCGTAACGACGCGAGAGCTACGAACGCTGCCTGCCTCTCTTTCCTTCTTTTTTTTATTTTTTTATTTTATTTTTTTTTATTTTCTTTATTTTTTATTTTTTGCAATTGCCGTGTCGAAGAAACGTGAAAGTTCATTTAGAAATCCACGCTGCGTGCGTTATCTTTATCGAGCTAATAAATACTTTTGTATTTGAAAGCTGTTATGTAAATGCCGCGCAACAATGCGGCGGCGGCTTTCCATTTTCGTTTTGTAAATTATTATTGCATCTCTTTCATGTTTCTTACGAATATTCCTTCTTTCTGTAACTTTAAGACCATGTATCGCCTACAACGTACCGCCTAGTTAGTGTTAATGTGACTTATTTATGTAATAAAAGAAAACCAGATAAAAATATTTGCGTACTGATATCTTTGCAAACAAGAAAAAAAACAATGCTTTACGAATGAGAACGGGAACATATTTTTTGTTGGAATTTTTTTACGAACGTAAAAAGTGCCTCCATACGCTCGATATGACTATCGGTCAAGTTCATCTTTTATGACGCGACTCTTCCTACTGTAGTAGTAACTTTCCTCGCAATGTTTATCTTTCAATTTATCGTATTCCTTACGCAATAATTATACCTGCACATTCCTACATTTCTTCTCACACCATTTTTACTTTAATCTCTTACCTACGTTTCACGTAAACTTTTATATATTTTGACAGTAAGTTGTATTGTTCGCTCGATTTTCTCATCAGTGATATCTATATATACGAAAAACTCTCACGGCAAAGCATTCGGTGTGTTAGACTTCTGGGTGTAAGGAGCAGCATATTGTTATGAGGAGCGAGGGAAATCTGACGCACGCAATTCTATCGACTAGTCTCCACGTTCCATAGGCACCTCCTACAGTTCGAAAGTGCCATGCAATGCACTTCATCATTATAGTTTATACGCCGATTTTTGAATTATTACGACAATGCCCATCTATTGTGACGAGACATCTAACAAAAGATTCCGGTTTCGAATGCATTCAGTTTACTGTATCTAACGACAACGTAATTTATTACTTGACGAGTTTACATTTTCCTCGCGTTGACATTCTCGGATTCTCAAAATCTATGCTTAAACCGACAATAAATATCTTTTTGTTGCTATGTATGCGCATAATTTACGTTTCTCCACAGATTTTAGAATAAAGAGAAAGGAGATTTTGCTTGTTCCGTGCGTTATGACTGTGAACGTGGGAGACTTTTTATTAATATACTCGCGATAAGGCAGATTGACAATGTAACAAATTCAAACTTGATACAATGTGATTAAGAAAGGAAGATTTTTTAATACTATTTTTAAGATGAAATAATTAAAAATGATTGATTGACAATTTATTTGAATGATATTTTCATTTCAATCCTTTGTCTAATTGTACGATGTTATTATTATTTTTTCGTACTCCATTTCATAAAAACCGATGATACACACACATAAATTTTAAGTTTAAAAACCCACAGTTCAATTATTCGTATACAATTAAATCAACTACATGTTATTGCATTAATGTAATATAAGAGTTTCCTTAATTTTAAATGATATCCATGAATTCTATTTTTATCTTCAGTTTAAGTAAATTTATTTCACGAAACTTTGTCTTTTATAAAATCAATATAATAATAATAAAAATATACCATACAGCAAAAATCACATGTGTTGAATTAATACACGCGGCGCTCATTTACACACAATATCGTTCATTAGCAAATTTGAAATGGAGTAATAAATGAATCTTAAATGAGTTATGTCAATACATATGTGAATTACGTAAGTTTCAGAATATGATTAAAAATAGGCAACGCGAAATTTCACATTTGTTAACAATCATACTCATAAATACAAACCTTCAAAAACTATTGCTGTATTACTTTGACCAACTGATAGAAAACAAAAAGAAAACAACTATATTAAATATTTTTAAATTAATTTACTTTACTCTTGAACAGTTCAGATCTGCTATAAACTGGAATTAACAATAATTATTCTGTTTTGATAAAGTCGAAAAATTAACATTATTAATTTCAATCCTGCAAGCGCGAGCAATTGCATGTATGGAGGATAATATGATAGCCCAAATAATTGTCCAATTGAGTAGAACGCGAACATTTCTGTAGGAAGAAATTTCCCTTCGTTCGACTATCAAGATTTGGCTCTATTTGTGTTGCTATCTGGCAAAACTATTAGTTAAAAAAATTAAAAACCCTCAGTTCTTGTTTTGTAAACAATAGATAAACGTAATGACGTTAACAAAATGGAACAAAATAATCATGGTTACATTTCAGACGAACAAATTTTAACATCAGTAGTAACAATCGATATCGGTCAGAGATTGCGAAAAATTTCGGAATACACACATCATCCTTATTAATTTACGTAGATATAAACAGTATTGAAGTTTAATGAAGTATTGAAACTAGTAAGCGTGAACTTGGAAACGCAAAAGTTTGATAGAAAAAATATGTCGATGTTGATATTTCAGTAGTAATATGCTATTATGGTAGGACATTACCGGATCATCCAGTGTCTAACACTATTGCCATCTATAAAAACTCAAATAATAATGACAGCATAGTTTGACACTACTAATTATATAAAGAATACTTCATAATATTTGTTACAAGTGAGTAGTTCAATTATTATCAGCCGAAGTGAAGGGTATTGGTAGCTTGCATATTGGCCAACAGATGACACTACCAATTCATTCACGATATATTCTCAGATCTTTTGTTCGTAATTCTGATTTTCATCTCGCAAAGTAAATTAAATAGTTAATTGATTTTCCATCGGAATCACGAGATATCGTTGCATAAGTCTGAACGATAAATTTCATCTTGCGACAGTGCAAGCGTTACAATCCACGTACATTCGCGGTGAAGATTCGTCTATTGAAATACTGAAGATCAACATTTGAACTTCGGCAAATTTCAAAGCATGGCATCGCAGCGAAACAGTTGTCATCGACAATGACCCAAGATCTCCCCAAAAGCTCGAGCCGAAAAGACGCGCAAGTCCTCGGAGGAAAGATGCTCGAGTCGCCGGGGAAAGTTGGAGCCACAAAACAAAGTGATATCAATGCCCCGGCTAGGCGGATGCTGCATCCAAGATGTTCCGACGACGTGGCAATCATCAAAATGGGAAAAGCCGAGAGTGGGCCAGGCTCGAGGAAAAAAGCCACGCTATGTTGAGGGAACGGGAAGGCAAGGGCTCTTTGTGGAAGCGTGCACGCACAACTGCGGCCGCACTCGAGCACCGGAAAGGCCAACTAGTAGCGCGCGCGCGTGTGTGTGTGTGTGGGAGTCCGGCAAGGATAAAACAGATCGCGTCGCTACCAGCTTTGGCGGGCGTCTCTCGCCGTCCCGTTATTCGCGCTCGGTAACGCGCCGCCCGGAGAAGGCGCATCGCGACCACCTCGCGCGCGAGAAAGGAGAAGAGGTCAGTGGTCAGTGGCGGATCGGCTGGCATTGGCAGCCACGACGAGCGCTGGTGCACGCGTTTTCGACGGACGGAGGTGCATTCGGACGGTACGTCGTATCCGTTGGCTCCGCGCGCGCGACACTCAGCGAGTCCGTGTGCGTGCGCGTGTTCGTGTGTATTGCTCTTGCTCGGAGGATCACGTGATCATCCTCCAGTTCTCGGCGGCTGGCTCTCGTGCACAGTGCGGCAGCGGCAGCAGCAGCGGCGGCAGCAGCAGCAGCGGCGGCAGCAGCAGCACGCCAGTGCCAGTAGTCGACTCTGACTCGGCCGCGCTCTGTCCCTGGTGCGCGTTGTTCGCTTTGTTTTGTTGTTGCGTGTGAAGCTTCGCGGTCCGTCGCTCGCGCAGCGTCTCTCGAGAGATGCGGCGCTCGAGGCGCGCAGCCACGCGCGCGGCAACCTGTCACCACTAGCCTCGCCGAGCGCGACAGCAATCGCCAACGCAGCTGCATTCGAAGGACCACCTCGGAGACATGGACGTGATTGGCGACGGCGACGAGCAAACCCTCCAGGCGATTCTCGGTAAGCCGTCGCGTACAATGGCGCAACTAGACGAGCCACCGAGAGACAGAGAGGTCAAGCAACTCTCCCGCGATGGACTCGTTTTTCCAGCCCGAGTTCCGAAATTTTCTCTCCTACCCGCTGGCCGACTGCGCGGGAGGGAGGGAGGGAGGGAAGAAGAAAAAACAAGGATTCCAGGTCGGCCGCTTGACCTGGATTTCCCGCTGAGCGACCATAACTATTCAACACTCCACAGTCGCTCCGGCCTCTCTTGTTTTTTGGAGCATTGTCCTAACTGGCGAGCCGTCACGTAACGCTTAATTATCGCTGGTCGGCCGAGCCACGGGCGAAATTGCCGATCGCCCCGTTCGATTTGCATTCGTGACAGAGAAGAGCTACGATATCGTTTAATGTGCGTGGCGAACGCGCGGCGGGAGAGAGAGAGAGAGAGAGAGAGAGGTGAGAGGCTACTGCCAACGCCGATAGAGCGAGATGACACACAACGACGTGTACAGCAATTGCCGAGCGTTAGAATCTCCGCGCGAGCCCGTGTAAGAGTGCATTGCTTGCTCGCTGTTCGCCGCCGCCATTTTTCGCGCTATTCTCTGCTCTCTCGGCTGCCCCAGCTAACGGTGAAAGTCGACGCGCGATTTTCCGCCAAGCGCGCGCAGGGGAAGTGGGGAGGGCTCGCGCTGCATACGGCCAATTCTGCCCAATTGTCGAGCAACAGGTATCCGCACTCGCGTCAGCCGCGAGCGTCCCTACGCATCGGGATGAAAGGCCGAAAATTCACCGCTGACGTCACTACCAACGTTTGGCTCGCTTTCCCGAGGCGCGTTCGTCGGCGCGACGAAGTCAAACGAATTTTCGACGCTCCGATCGCGGCCGCCGCGGCTCCGTCAACAAAAGCGCGCCCGACGCGTTCGCCGCGATTCGCGTCGGGAGAGCGCGCGCCGTGCAATTCATAACATCGGCGAGACGGGCCGTTGGATTTGCGCGCCGGCCGAAAGTCGCGATGCCGACGTGACGGGGAACAACGCAGAGGTTGAAAGGAACGCTTTCGACGGTTGTTCTTTTATTTGTACTATTTTTTTTTTTAGAGCCGCAACTCATTCGCGCGTTCAAAGGTCATTCGACGAGCGAACGCACGCGGCGCGATTTCAATATGGCATGAGTTTCCGATGTAAAGAGATGCGCGACGTTGGAAAATAACGCCCCACTCGCGGCCGTTTATCTACTTATTCCATTGATGCTTCTAGGTCGGAATGTTTTATATATTGATACGGCGGCTCTCGGCACCGTCGTTTGCACGGCAACATCGTAAAAATAAGCGTTTACGCGCGTTGGCCCCCGGCACTGGCTGCAGCAGCAGGAGCGCGCGAGCCAGCTGCATGCTCTCCACGCTGAGAATTAACATGCGATCGTAACTAATCGCCTCGCGGATAGCTGTACAGCGAAGCTTCGTCAAACGTTTTGTTTCGATACGATGAAGCTTTGGGACGACGAGTACGCGTCTGTGTAGCTTTGCTCTCTCTCTCTCTCTCTCTCTTTGACCTCTGTGTTATCTAATACTACGCAATAGGCAGCGAATCTCCGCAAGTAAGCGAAACTTTCTAAAGCCCCTTGCGGTTCGCGGTGACTCGATGAACAATCAGAAGAACACTTGGAATGTATCGGGATCCAAAGAGAAAAAGAAAAATAGCGCTCCTTCTCGATGCAACAAATCGGCGTATGACTCAGGTTTAGTTGCAACCCGCTAAATTATTGCTCCTACGAATTCTTATTTAACCATTTCCGTTCCGTGCATGCCGCTTAATTTTGCTCACTTTTACACGCGCTACCTCGCGAGATCGCCTCGATATCGTTTATAGTTACGGCATAGAGCGCGAGGCGCATCGACCATGTGATATAAGCTGCGGGAATCGACGGATAAAGAAAGCGTCGTAATGCCGCTTTCGTCATGAAACCCGCGCGTAATTACGTCTTTTTTTTGTGATCCGACGCTCGACGTTCGTCGACGATCTTTCGCTACTTTTCCGTCAATATGCGAGAAACTGGGACGATATATGTAAATCGAAATCAATACGCTTGTTTGCTCGCAATAACATACACAAAACACGCGTGTCGCAAAAAAGAACCGATTTGAAAACAAATAAACAAATAAATGAAAGATACGATAGCGTGCCAAAAGCTTGTAAACAGAAGCTTGCGCCGAAGCCTCGTAAGAGCTGTTTGGCGGGGGAATAGGAATAAAGCGACGAATTTTCCGTGAACGGAAGTACGACGGCAGCGTATATATCGAGGAGACATTACAATTGACAGGCAGTTTGTCTTTCGGTGAGACGGAGAATCTGGCCGATGCAAGCGCGCGGCACGGGAAACTGGCGCGATGGCCGCGCGACGCCAAAGACGATTGGCCGGAGCTTGCGGCTCTAACACGCCTCCTCGTCGTCGCCGGCCGAAATAAGAAGGAGAGAAAGCTCTTTGGGCATGCGCGCGGGGAAAAAAAGCACGCGCGTCGCCCCTCTCGCCACGCGCGGACTTGTCCTTCGCGTCCCCTGTTCCCGCGACATTGCCGTTCCCTCTGCCGGCGATATCTCTTTCGTTTGTTGTGCATTCGCTCTTGATTCTCGTACTCGATGGACAACACGTTTTCATGTCTGCACGGACGATAAATATGCGTAACGTCAATTTGTTTACAGATATTTCGTGGTCTGGTAAAGGCGATATACCGACGGAAAGTAAAGCTATTTTTTCATACCTATGCACTTCTAAGGACACGTACCCGATGAAATATTTATAAATAGTTATCATGCATTTCACACGATAGAAAGACAAATTATTTTCGTACGCGATAAAATTCGGCCCATCCCGCTAGCTCGTAATGTCTTTTTCAAACAAATAACGGTATAAATTTTTACAACCTTTTTAAATTGGAGGGCGCAGTGCCGCTACAGCAGTGTTTCTTCAACGTAAATTTTTAAATCCTCATTCGGTAAAATTTACGTTAGCGTTAGATATTTCAACTCACTCCCTGAAACCTTATTCCAGTGACTCAAACCTAGATTTACGACGCGCTCGTAGAAAATCGCGTTTTATTTACGTTGCATCGTAAAATAGAAAACAATACTATGGGGAGCTTAAGGATTTTTACTCTAGCGCAGTCGCATCATTTCCACACAAAGGTGAAACTATCTTAGCGCACTAGTATTGTACGCATACTATAATATGCTTGTAGGATAAGATGTATTGACTGGCAGCACATCTCGCGAATAACTAACAGAGAACATAATCAGCAGAACTTTATTGTTTTATTTAAAATAAAGGCTCGCACACAAGGCTAACAAAAGAAAGTAGTGCTGCGTCTCTTTTCTTGCCTGATTACTTCATCGAGAATAGTTGTTTAAAAAATTCTCAACGCAATATTTATCCTTTTCCAAACAAAAAGAGTAAGCGAAGATAGCGATTCTTGGAAGCAATAAGTGGTACAAAATGTCGCGAATAAAACAAAAGGAGAAAACTGCGATACGCGATGCGGATTCCCCAATATGGGTCATTTTTTTATATTTTCATTCGTCAAAAAGAAAAAGAAATGAGAGAAAAAAAACGCCAATCACTTCGCTGGTTTGGGTGGGCGACGTCGCGAAAAGAGAACAGAATCAGCGGTTCGTGATCCACGCGTAAACATTGTGCTCGCACTTGTGCGTCCAAACAAAAAATGGAGAGAGAAGAACCGGTGCTCGCCGCTGCACACACCTGATTACGTTTGCTTCACGTGAGTTTAAGGGGACGCTTCGAAAGAGAGAAAGAGACTATATACTCATTTCCGGGCTCGTAGTACATTGTTAGTGCGTCATATGTGTTTGGATGAGTATAATAGCCACTTCACTTTCACACCTGCCTCTATACGCGTGTATATGACGTGGCTATTACTTCGCTTGATTTTAAATCAATTATAGAGGAATTTTTTGTATTTGAATTGCATAAGTCGCGTATGACTGCTTGTTGGACATTTTTTCACGATGTGCACAATGTGCGACTGAGCTACTTTGTCGACAAGTGAGAAATGACGGTCTGACGCTTCTACAAACTTTCAGAAGTTAATGAGCACGATACTTATGTAGTGAGTTTCGCGCGCGTATGTTTATTTGCAATTAGCTGTCCGCGCAACTTGGAAATCATTCGTCGGAACGCACCAACTTCTACGAAGTTGTTTAGTCGCCGGTTCCGTATAAGATAAGTTCGAGAGTTTCGCGTACGTTCGCGTCTTCGGTAAACGTTGAGCAAACGAAACCAAACGTGGATATTCGTTTTTTCATGACATTGTGCCTGAAAGACCGACCGCGTAGCACCTTGTCAGGCGCCGACATTGAAAAATTGACGGTCTCGCAAGTATTTCCAACGAAACAATGTACGGGCGGTGCGAAGGTTCCACGAGGTATGAAAAAAAAAGAAAACAGAACGAATAGGGCGTGAAGCGGGCGCGTACATATGCGATTGCGCTGTCAAACATATCCGGCTGCAGCAGGAGAGAGAGAGAGAGAGAGAGAGAGAGAGAGAGAGAGAGAGAGAGAGAGAGAGAGAGTACGGCTGCCTGGGACTCGGGCAGTTTAATAAGTTTTGCCGCTTGGACGGTCGAGAGCGTGGGAGGGGCGGCTTTTGTTAAATCGATGCCCGCTCCGGCGCGCGGCAGCAGCAGCAGCAGCAGCAGCAGCAGCAGCAGCTCCCCGGCGAGCCAGCGAATCGCAGTTGGCGCTCGCGACCTCGCCCCCGCGGGCAGCGCCGCTGTCGCTCCGGCGCGCACACGCGCGATCGTAACGCGAGAAGCGCCCCGTATCCTTGGACTTTCGCGAGCCGGCTGACGGGAATCGCGCACCCTCGCTCCTCCCTTGGCGATCGCTCGGCTACCCGGCGAGTCGCGCTGTCTGCGCCAATCGATCCCACGACTCGCGCGCTCTCGAAATAATGCGCGACGATAAACAGACGCGCCGACCCGTCGTCGTGCGCGCGATCCTCTCGCG